AGTAGTGGTACTCAGTGTGAAAGCCTGTGCACTGGCGACCAGCGCGGGGACCTGCGCGAATGATATAGGGGCAGCGACCAGGACCCCCAGACGCCCCACACCCGGCATACCAGTCATGAAGCTGCTGGGAAGTGGGGGTCTGGCGCTGACGCTGCTGCTGCTGCTGCTGCCCCTGGCCACCACTGGTCTCATGAAGCCCCCACCACTGCCGCCACCACCACTCCCCCCTCCGCCACCACCGCCGCCGCCATCGCCACTGCTCCCGGCACCACCACCGCCCCCACCACCACCTCCACCCCCACGACCACCCCCACCACCTCCACCTCCCCCGCCGCCTCCACCACCGCCCCCTCCACCGCCACGTCCGCCACCCCTGCCACCCCTGCCTCCCCTGGAGCCGCTGCGCTTCCCACTAGGAGCGGAAGCAGCTGCGACCTTCTCAGCACCAAGGAGGTCGACAGCAGTAGCTGCGGAGGCGTAGGAGGGGGTAAGAGGGGAGGGGGAGCACCCCTCAAAGAGGGGAGTGCGAGGAGTACCACGAGCAGCACCTACAGCGAGGATGTTCTTCTCTGCTGCTAGGAGGTGCTTCTCGAAGTCGGCGACAGTGAGAGTGGTAGGGTCTAGGGCTAGGAAGTGGTCCCTGACGGAGCTAAGAGTGTCCGGGAGGCGGGTGACGAGGAAATAGAGAGTGAAGTACATCGAGGGGGGTTCTCGGCGCAGAACTCGGCTGGAAGGGCGGCACGAAAGCGAGTGTCACTAGTGCGAAGGTGAGAAATAAGGTCCTCAGCAGTGGTAAACGAGGACAGGACTGGAAACAGGTAGGGTAGCATGAGTCGACCTAGGGCTGCAGTGGCCGGGGAAGAGTAGCGCGCAACTACAACGTCATACAATGCCTTAGCAGTTTTTTGCTGGCTGAAATGCGCGCGCTCAGTGATCGGCAGATGATTTCGAATAGCTAGGCGTGCAGCATCATCGCGAGTCTGCCACTGTGAGCGTTCGAGAGCGGTAGCCTTGTCAGCAGGAGCAACGGCAGTGCCAGACACGTAATCGAACAGTGAAACGCTGTCTTTGGCATCAGTCAGAAGAAACAGTTGGAGATCGTCGAGCCACGTGGCGAACTCTATCGAGAGACCGTCAGGCTCAAACGCGAGAACATTAAGTGTCGCCATAATCGCAGTGCAGGCAAAGGCAGTAGGCAAAGGCGGTAGGCAGCAGGCAGCAGGCAAAGGGCGCGAGCAGCAAGGGCGGCTCTCAAAGCAGGCGCAGGCAGCTCAGGCAGCGCGCGGGGCAGCAGCAGAGGCGCAGCTCGAGCAGGTAGGGCGGCGCGCGTGGCTGCGAAGGGCCGCGCGCGTGGCTGCGAAGTGCCGCGCGCGGGCTGTCAGAGCGCGGCGCGGGCCGCGTGGACGGTGCGCGGGGCAGCTGCGGGCCGCACGGGCTCGGCGCGGTTTGCGCGAGCGGTGCGCGGGCCAGCTGCGGACCGCGCGCGCGCTGCGCGGGCTCGACGCGGGCTGCGCGGGCGGTGCGCCGGGCGCGACGCGGCTGCTGAGGCGCGACGCGAGCAGGGAGGGCGACGCGCGGGGCAAAAGGGGGCAGCGCGCGGGAATTAGGTTTGCGCGCGCGAAGCAGCAGCAGACAGCTCAGACAGCAGACAGTAGGCAACAGGCAGACAGTGCGCACAGCGCAGCACGTCCTAGGCACAGTCACAGTCACAGTCGTGGGGTAGCGGTAGGTGGGCCCGAAAAAAAAAAAAAGACGGTCCTACGGACCTACTGCTCTGAATACCATGTCAGAAGTCTAGGCAGGAATGAATGAACTAGGAAAGTGTTGGGTACAAGTATGAAACCCTAAAAGGGGTTGTACCCCATATTGGCTACCCCACTACAGCCTAAATATATATGTCATACATATAATTTGACAATGCTTCCCATGGTTCTGTGTGTTACAAGAGTAGGCATAAGCAGGAGCCATAGCTAGGGTTTACCTAGCTAGGCAAGAGAGAAATGAGCAAAAGGATGATTTGACTAGCAACAGTTGGGATACAAATAGGAAACCCTAAGGGGCTGTACTCACTACAGAGTACCCCACTGCAGGCTAGACAAGCATTATAATCTGACACTGTGTACGTATGGGCAGCAGGTGGTGGTGACCACCATGCCCCACAGGCTTGGTGCAATCTGCCAGTTTCTGTTGTTTCCTGACTCTAGTGCCCCAACCACTCATCACTCTCATCCTCGCCTTGCTGAAGGTTCCTCAGAGAGACCCTCCCCAAAGAGCAGGACACCAAATCATCCGCTACGAGCGGCAGAAAAATGCGCGAAATATAGCGGCGAGCAGCACAACCAGCAGCATCACGGATGTGGGACGTTTTTAGCTTCGGAACAAGCGGTGTCTAGACACATGTGGTGGTATAATACTGTGAGATTGCATTGGTGACGTTTAATCCCCAAATTCTCAGACTTCATCACAAGCTTCACTTTCTCGGGCAAATTTCTTGGCCAAACTACGGAGCTGCTGCTCTCCTATTTCAAGCCTCTGAACAATCGAGCTGCTGCACCGCAGCCTTTGACCAAGTGCTCAGACTTGATCAACAAGTTTCATCTGGACGACCGCCATTCGCCGCCATCGTGAACCAGCAACCCGCCATTCGACCCTGGAGATCGCTCACCGCCATTCACCCCCATCGCCAACTAGCAACCCGCCTCCATCCCGAAACAGCCCCCCGCCCAGCCTGCCTTCAGATCTCCAGAGGTAAGCTTCGAGTTCCACGCATTTCATCTATTGAGTGTCCTTGCTTTGAATATTTTCCATGTTTACCTTCAAGTTCTGACTCTTTGTTGTTTATATTTTCGCAGGTTCAAAAGGCGTTCAAGTCCAATGGCCAAACTGCCGAGCTGCTACTCTCCACTTTTAAGCCTCTGGACAAGCGGAGCTGCTGCACCGCAGCCTTTGACCAATTGCTCGGACCTCATCAACAAGCAACCCGCCATTCGACCCTCGAGATCGCTCAATGCCATTCGCCCCCATCGCCAACCAGCAACCCGCCTCCATCCCGAAACCGCCTTCCGCCCAGCCTGCCCTTCGATCTCGAGAGGTAAGCTTAAAGTTGTTATGGCGACATGATTTCACTTTCACGCATTTCATGTATTTAGTTTTCTTGCTTTGAATGTTTTTCTTGTTGATCTCCAATTTCTTACTCTTTGTTGTTTGTATTTTCGCAGGTTCAAAAACCATTCAAGTCGAATTGCCAAACTGTGCTGCTCTCCTCTTTCAAGCCTCTGAAGAAGCCGAGCTGCTGCACCGCAGCCTTTGACCAAGTTCTCGGACTTGATCAACAAGCTTCATCTTGACGACCGCCATTCGCCGCCATTGTGAACCAGCAACCCGCCATTCGACCCTGGAGATCGCTCACCGCCATTCGCCCCCATCGCCAACCAGCAACCCGCCTCCATCCCGAAACCGCCCCCCGCCCAGCCTGCCTTCAGATCTCCAGAGGTAAGCTTCAAGTTGTTATGGCTACTTGTTTTTATTTCCACGCATTTCATCTATTGAGTGTCCTTGCTTTGAATTTTTTCCATGTTTACCTTCAAGTTCTGACTCTTTGTTGTTTATATTTTCGCAGGTTCAAAAAGCGTTCAAGTCCAATGGCCAAACTGCCGAGCTGCTGCTCTCCACTTTCAAGCCTCTGAACAAGCTGAGCCGCAACCTTTGACCAAGTCGAACCTGCTGCTGCCGCTTGTCATCACGCCGTGGCTGGCGGCACGACGCGATCCAACGCAGTATAACGTAGTGTGTCGCGCTAGACGTGGTGCTGTCGTCCGTTTCATCACGCTGCCAGGGAAGTGTTGCTTCCCTTTTCCCTCGTTTCTTTCCCGATTTCGTTTTCCTCGCTTTCGTTTTTCGTCATTATCATCATCATCCACAACCGCCCATTCGTGCCTCGCCGTTTTCCATTGTCCCTCTTGTTCATACAGTTGCAGCCGGAAGATGATCCTCCTCGGTTGGGTAGATGGGTTGGCTAGATTAGATCCTCCCTCTGATGGCTGCAGCCTATGAACCATGGACGCCCGCCCTCGTTTCCTTCGTCGTTTTCATATCCATTTTCGCTTTCGCTTTTCGCATTTGTTTTATGCTTGTTTGTTTTTCCTCCATTGTTTTTCTTCTTGTCATTGTTGTTTACTAACTTCGAGCCCTCTTTTGTGTTTCCTACCCTCGTTATCAGCAATAAAGATCACGTTGTGCAACTCGATCGGATTAACCAAGGCCGAAGAAACCAAGGATCGAAGACTACCAAGGAAGAAGCTGAGCCTAGTGGTAAGTTTATCCGTTAAGCGTTTAGCCCTGTTAACGTTTTCTTTTAAATTTGGCTGCAAATGGTGTGTTCTGTCTTTGAGATTCTGATTCTGAAGAATACATACTAATTCCGTTTTGTCATTTTTTCTTAAACAGGACGAGCCAATGAAGATGCAAATGGCGAAGAAGGAGCAGCCTACGAAGCCGCTGGAGTGAAGCAACCAAGGAGCAAAGCAACCAAGGAGCAAAGCTACTAAGGAAGCAGCTGAACTTCTAGGTACGTTTATCCGTTAACCGTTTAGCCCTTTTAACCATTTTCATCTTAATTTGGCTGCACGTGGTGCCTTTTTTCTTTGGAATTCTGATTCTGAAGAATATATACTAATTTTTGTTTGTCGCTTTTTTGTTAACAGGACGAGCCAATGAAGATGCAAATGTCGAAGAAGGAGCAGCCCACGAAGCCGCTGGAGTGAAGCAACCAAGGAGCAAAGCAACCAAGGAGCAAAGCAACCAAGGAGCACAGCAACCAAGGAGCAAAGCAACCAAGGAGCGGAGCTACTAAGGAAGCAGCTGAACTTATAGGTAAGTTAATCCGTTAACCGTCTAGCTACCAAGGAAGCAACTGTCTTTCCTATTTGAGATTTTGATTCAAAAGAATATATACTAATTATTGTTTGTCGTTTTCTTTTAAACAGGGCCAGTCAACGAAAATGCAAGTGGCGAAGGCGGAGCGTCCTACGAAGTGGCGGGGCGTCCTACGAAGTGGCGGGGCGTCCTACGAAGTGGCGGGGCGGCCTACGAACCGGCGGGGCGGCCTACGAACCGGCGGGGCGGCCTACGAACCGGCGGGGCGGCCTACGAACCGGCGGGGCGGCCTACGAACCGGCGGGGCGGCCTACGAACCGGCGGGGCGGCCTACGAAGCGGCGGGGCGGCCTACGAAGCGGCGGGGCGGCCTACGAAGCGGCGGGGCGGCCTACGAAGCGGCGGGGCGGCCTACGAAGCGGCGGGGCGGCCTACGAAGCGGCGGGGCGGCCTACGAAGCGGCGGGGCGGCCTACGAAGCGGCGGGGCGGCCTACGAAGCGGCGGGGCGGCCTACGAAGCGGCGGGGCGGCCTACGAAGCGGCGGGGCGGCCTACGAAGCGGCGGGGCGGCCTACGAAGCGGCGGGGCGGCCTACGAAGCGGCGGGGCGGCCTACGAAGCGGCGGGGCGGCCTACGAAGCGGCGGGGCGGCCTACGAAGCGGCGGGGCGGCCTACGAAGCGGCGGGGCGGCCTACGAAGCGGCGGGGCGGCCTACGAAGCGGCGGGGCGGCCTACGAAGCGGCGGGGCGGCCTACGAAGCGGCGGGGCGGCCTACGAAGCGGCGGGGCGGCCTACGAAGCGGCGGGGCGGCCTACGAAGCGGCGGGGCGGCCTACGAAGCGGCGGGGCGGCCTACGAAGCGGCGGGGCGGCCTACGAAGCGGCGGGGCGGCCTACGAAGCGGCGGGGCGGCCTACGAAGCGGCGGGGCGGCCTACGAAGCGGCGGGGCGGCCTACGAAGCGGCGGGGCGGCCTACGTTGCGGCGGGGCGGCCTACGTTGCGGCGGGGCGGCCTACGTTGCGGCGGAGCAGCCTAGCCGCCAATCAAACTGGCAAGGTAAGCTTCAAAGTCCACGCATTGTTAATCCTTGTTTAGCGTTTCTGCTTAAGCTGGTTTCAAATCGTTTTTTTTTTTTTTTTTTTTTTAGATTCTTTTTATACTAATTTCTGCCGTTTTTTCTAGGTGCGAAGATGCGAATGGCTCAGCCAACGAAGGAGCAGCCTACGAAGCCGCTGGAGCGAAGCAATCAAGGAGCGAAGCTACCAAGGAGCGAAGATGAACTTTGTGGTAAGTGTATCCGTTAACCGTTTAGCTCCGTTACCGTTTTCTGCTCAATCTGGCTGCAAATGTTGTCTCTCCTTTTAGATTCAGATTCTGAAGAATATTTACTATTTTTTTTCTGTCGTTTTTATCTTAAACGGAACCAGCCAACGAAGGAGCCTGTCAAGGAGCCTACTTAGCAGCTTACCAAGGAGCCTACGAAGCAGATGAAGCTGTCAAGTAAGTTTTGGAGTCCTTGCATATTACAGCCTTGCTACTTACCGTTTTCTGCTTTAGCTGATTGCTAATCGGTTTCTTTGAACATGGAATTTGTACTAATCTGTGTCTTGTTTTTTCTTCAACAGGACCAACCGGTGAAGCAGTCAACGAAGCAAATGGAGTGGCAACTGGCGGAGCAGCCTACAATCTCTCTTACGAAGCACAAGACGCGGCAGCCTACAAGCTGGATGGATGTGCAACATGCTTTCAGGAGCGGCGGAAGCAGAGGCTGGGCTTTAAGGAGCGGCGGAAGCAGAGGCCTTGCTTCAAGGAGCAGCGGAAGCAACCAAGGAAGCAACAGAACGCACTGTTGAAGCAGCTGGTAAGCTGTTCACCGTCTCAGTCTTTTCACTGTTTATCGTTGCAATTGGTGTCTGTCTTTTTTTTTTTTTTTTTTTTTTTTTTCTCGAATTCTGAGAATCTTGTAACATAATGACTAATTTGTGTGTCGTTTTTTCTTAACAGGACCAACAAAGATGCGAATGACGAAGGAGCAATCTACGAAGCGGCGGAGCAGCCTACGAAGCGGCCAAGCATCTTGCAGAGCGGCGAAGCAGCCTATAGAGCGGCGAAGCAGCCTACAGAGCAGCAAAGCAGCCTACAGAGCGGCGAAGCAGCCTACCGAGCGGCGAAGCAGCCTACGAAGCGGCCAAGCATCTTGCAGAGCGACGAAGTAGCCTACAGAGCAGCGAAGCAGCCTACAGAGCGGCGAAGCAGCCTACAGAGTGGGGGAGCAGCCTTCAAAGGAGCAGCCTACGAAGCGGACTTGGAGCAGCCTACGAAGCGGACTTGATGCAGATTACGAAGCAGACTTGATGCAGATTACGAAGCAGACTACGAAGCAGACTTATAGCAGACTACTACGCAGACTTATAGCAGACTACGACGCAGACTTATAGCAGAATACGAAGCAGACTACAGGGAAGCATCGTAGCAGTCTACAGGGAAGCATCGAAGCCTACAGGGAAGCAGCGAAGCAGCCTACAGGGAAGCAGCGAAGCAGCCTACAGGGAATCAGCGAAGCAGCTTATAGGGAAGCAGCAAAGCAGCCTACAGGGAAGCAGCGAAGCAGCCTACAGGGAAGCAGCGAAGCAGCCTACAGGGAAGCAGCGAAGCAGCCTACAGGGAAGCAGCGAAGCAGCCTACAGGGAATCAGCGAAGCAGCTTATAGGGAAGCAGCAAAGCAGCCTACAGGGAAGCAGCGAAGCAGCCTACAGGGAAGCAGCGAAGCAGCCTACAGGGAAGCAGCGAAGCAGCCTGCATGGAAGCAGCGAAGCAGCCTACAGGGAAGCAGCGTAGCAGTCTACAGGGAAGCAGCGTAGCAGTCTACATGGAAGCAGCGTAGCAGTCTACATGGAAGCAGCGTAGTAGTCTACAGGGGAGTAGCGTAGGCGGAGGCTGGGCTGCAAGGAGTAGACGGAGGAGGAGGCTGCGGAAGCGATTGCTGCGGAAGCGGAGGCTGCCCGGGATGTGGCGAAGCAGTGGAGGTTTGTGGTGAAGGGTTGCGCGGATGGTGGCTAGATGGGAGCTCGAAGGTGGCCTAAGAGGTGGCTGAGCTAGCGCAGGCTCAGCCGGTCCTAAGGCGAGTGGCGCGGTGTGGGTGTGATCTCAGCAGTGATGTGATGGAGTAAGGGCCAGTGCTTGGTTCTGGCAGTGCGTTGCACTGCCTAGGCCCAGAATCAAGCAAATCCGGGTACCTGACACTCCATGTAGCATCACTGTTGGGGTTGCACTTGCACCACAAGTCAGCACCGCACCGGCGTGGGTGCGGGGGGCTTGAGTCACTCTAAAGAGAAGGGAGAACGCACTGGCGTGGGTGCGGAGATCTTCTCTTACCTCTGAATGATGAGTCCACACTGGCGTGGGTGTGGAAATACTCATTCTAGGTCACCTGAGGGTTTCTGTTTAGGAGGCTTGTGGTTTAACTTAGTGCCTCGGGGCTTTCTCACACTGGCGTGGGTGTGGGGGGTTCGTCACTTGATGTGTCAGCCTGGAGCCACAGGGAGAGAGGGATGGAGCAGTAGAGGGGAGCAGTCGTCGTTTGATGCAGCAGCCGCTTGATGCAGTTAAGGGGAGAAGCTGCCTGGTGCAGTTCAGGGGAGAAGTGGGGTGCAGTTATGGGGAGAAGAACCCCTAAACCCTGAAGGGAGAAGCCGCCGCCTGGTGCAGAGAAGGGAGACCCCGCCTCCTGGTGCTGAAAAGAGAGAAGCCGCCTCTGGTGCAGACAAGGGAGAAGCTGCCTGGTGCAGAGAAGGGGAGAAACTGCCTCTGGTGCAGAGAAGGGGAGAAGTCGCCTCCTGGTGCAGAGAAGGGGAGATATGCCGCCTGGTGCAGTTATTAGTAAAGGGGCCGCCTGGTCTAGAGAAGCCGCCTCAGTTAAGGGGAGAAGCCGCCTCAGTTATAGGGGAGAAGCCGCCTCAGTTAAGGGGAGAAGCCGCCTCAGTTAAGGGGAGAAGCCGCAAGGGTAGAAGCTGCCTTTGTTAAGAGGAGCAGCCGCCTCAGTTAAGGGGAGAAGCCGCGTCAGTTAAGGGGGAGAAGCCGCGTCAGTTAAGGGGAGAAGCCGCGTCAGTTAAGGGGAGAAGCCGCGTCAGTTAAGGGGAGAAGCCGCGTTAGTTAAGGGGAGAAGCCGCTTCAAATAAGGGGAGAAGCCGCCTAGTTAAGGGGAGAAGCCGCCTCAGTTAAGGGGAGAATCCCTTGGTGCAGAGGAGTAGCTTGGTGCAGAGAAGGTTGCAGCACAAGCACTGCCTGTGTGCCACACTATCTGGTTCACGGGGGGAAGCAGTGAAGGGGAAGCAGCAGTGAAGGGGAAGCAGTAGTGAAGGGGAAGCAGTGTTGGGGAAGCAGTGTTGGGGAGGCAGTGTTTGGGAGTCAATGTTGGGGAGGCAGTGTTGGGGAGACAGTGTTGGGGGGGCAGTGTTGGGGAGGCAGTGTTGGGGAGGCAGTGTTGGGGAGGCAGTGTTGGGGAGGCAGTGTTGGGGAGGCAGTATTGGGGAGGCAGTATTGGGGAGGCAGTGTTGGGGAGGCAGTGTTGGGGAGGCAGTGTTGGGGAGGCAGTGTTGGGGAGGCAGTGTTGGGGTGGCAGTGTTGGGGAGGCAGTGTTGGGGAGGCAGTGTTGGGGAGGCAGTGTTGGGGAGGCAGTGTTGGGGAGGCAGTGTTGGGGAGGCAGTGTTGGGGAGGCAGTGTTGGGGAGGCAGTGTTGGGGAGGCAGTGTTGGGGAGGCAGTGTTGGGGAGGCAGTGTTGGGGAGAGGCAGTGTTGGGGAGGCACTGTTGGAGAAGCAGTGTTGGGGAAGCAGTGTGGGGGAAGCAGTGTTGGGGAAGCAGTGTTGGGGAAGCAGTGTTGGGGAAGCAGTGTTGGGGAAGCAGTGTTGGGGAAGCAGTGAAGCCGCCTGAAGCAGTTAAGAGGAGAAGCCGCCTGGTGCAGTTAAGAGGAGAAGCCGCCTGGTGCAGTTAAGAGGAGAAGCCGCCTCCTGGTGCAGAGAAGGGAGAAGCAGCTGCACGTTTCAGAAGGGGAGTAGCAGCCGCCTCCTTGTGCCTACAAGGGGAGTAGGGAGAGGAGCAGCCGCCTCCTTGTGCCTACAAGGGGAGAAGGAGAGAAGCAGCCGCCTCCTTGTGCCTACAAGGGGAGAAGGGGAGTAGCAGCCTGGTGCAGAGAAGGGGAGTAGCAGCCTGGTGCAGAGGAGAAGGGGAGTAGCAGCCTGGTGCAGAGGAGAAGGGGAGTAGCAGCCTGGTGCAGAGGAGAAGGGGAGTAGCAGCCTGGTGCAGAGGAGAAGGGGAGTAGCAGCCTGGTGCAGAGGAGAAGGTGTGAAGCAGGCTGGTGCAGAGGAGAAGGTGTGAAGCAGGCTGGTGCGGAGAAGGTGTGAAGCAGGCTGGTGCAGAGGAGAAGGTGTGAAGCAGCCTGGTGCAGAGAAGGGGAGAAGAACCCCCAAACCCTGAAGGGTAGAAGCCGCTAAGGATTTGGGAACTGCCAATGGGAGAAGCAGTTGGTGTGCAGCAACAGCGACGTGCATCAAAAGCGACCATGGAGTTTTTTAGCCGAGTGAACGGCATGCCCCTCATCCTGAGGAAGTCAGCCCGTCGGCATCCAAGGGGATGCGGCGCATGCGTTGAACCAAAAAAAAAAAAACTTGGGAGATAGGAGTAGTGGTGCAGAGTACAGCTGACATAGCTGAGGTAGATTTGGTAGGCTTTCTCAGTGTTGTATAGCATGTACCAATATTTTAGGAAATCCACAGTGCTCGCATGTACAAGCATGATCCCTTGTACAGTAAGTGCAACAACTCATTCAATTAGTGACCAATACTGGACCTCAATTTCCCTACTGGCATCCAACCACATTGTGGAAAACCTCCAGACATTGAACCAGGCACCCAATAAAACCCCCAGTTCGCTGAACAACACCAACATCACGTGTATTTGTTCAAATGCAGAGTCTTTTGATGAGGAATGAATTATCAGCGAGTGTAACACCACTGTTGGAGGCTGAGTGGACCGCTTCGTTATAGCATGCAAGGCAGGGTTCAGGGGACAAGCAGGAACACCGCGCGAATTCTCCAAGCACGTGGCTTTTGCCATCCCGTTTCACCCATTACCAGTTCCAGCTTCCTCAGCTTTCCGTCTCCAGTTTCGTGCGGCCGTGTCGGGCTGGCACTCTTTGCTTCGGACGACAGATGAAAGCTGCCTAGGATCGCTTCTTGGCTTCCTTCAGCCCACAGAAAGCCCAACGACTTCGCGTGACACGTCACGTTCTTCTGCGTTGCTCGTCGTTTCGTCCATCACATCCGTCTCGAACCACAAAACCGAAACATTTTTTTCCTCTTCGTTACTCGCCAGAATCCTTTATCACAGAAGGATCGTAACCACCATCTGTCACCATGGCTGCGATCGCTCCGCATTTTCTGTCGCTCAAGTCTAGCGCAAGATCGTTTCGTCGGTCTGGGAAATCCCTCCAGCCAGCTCAAAAGATCGCGCAGGCGTCGCAACAACCGACGCGACGTCGCCTGGCATTCGCACGGGTCGCAGCGCCGGAACCCGAACCACCCAGATCCCAAACCGTCGCGCTAAGCTCCACTCCGTCGACCAGCACCGCCGCAGCACCTTTATCTCCGTCTCCGTCTCCGGCGCTTCGGGAGCCTCCCGTGGAGAAGCGGCTATTCGAGCACGTGATCGAGGCGCAGCAGTTCAACCGCGATCTGCTGTCGGAGATCTTCGAGGTGGCGGACGAGATGCAGCTGATTCTCGAGGCGCGCGGCGGCGCGGGGTGCTCGAACATGCTGCGCGGGTACCTCATGGCGACGCTCTTCTACGAGCCGTCGACGCGCACGCGGCTGTCGTTCGGATCCGCCATGAAGCGGCTCGGCGGTGAGGTGCTGACCACGGAGAATGCGCGCGAATTCTCGTCCGCCGCCAAAGGGGAGAGCCTTGCTGGTGAGCTGGGGGGGAAGTGATGGGAAAACGGGGAAAAGGAGGAGGGGAGGGGAGGGGAGGCGGGGGATGTAAACGAGATTTAGTTGAAAAATATGGAGAGCTAGTGCAGCACGTGGAGAATGGAATTCCGAGTATCAAGCAAGGAATAAGAATGACCGTTTTGCAGAATGAGATCTATAATTTAAATCAGCGGTTTAGTCTAGAGAATGGATTGAAGGAATCCGACAAGGTGGTAATGTCCTTTGTGTCTTTGCTGGCTTCCTTTTGTCTCCCCCTCCTGTGTTCCCATTCCTCCTGTCTTCCTCACCACTACCAACTCCCTCTCCTATCCCCCTCCCTCACCCCCTTCCCATCCCCCCCACCTACCCCTCGGCCTCCCCTTTCCCCCCCGCCTCTCTCTGGCAGACTCCATCCGCACGGTGGAGGCGTACGCGGACGTGATCGTGCTGCGGCACTACGAGGAAGGCGCGGCGAAGCTGGCATCACAAGTGGCGTCCGTGCCCATCGTCAACGCGGGGGACGGGCCCGGCCAGCACCCCACGCAGATCAGGGGTTCAGGGCTTCACTGAGGCTAGGGGTTTAGGGCAGCACACATGTGGGTGGGGGGTTTGTGCCAGCACGGCTCAATGCAGGTGAGGGCAGCGGAGGATCAGAGTAGCGTATGGGGGAAGCATGGGAGGAAAAACCAGATGAACAATCCAGTGGGTGATGCACAGGACAGCATGCCCTCCATTGCAGTCATAGCATGCATAACTTGCCTCATCTCAACCCTCTTTCCCTATCTCAACCCCTCCTCCCCCTCCCCTCTCCCCTCCCCTCCCCCCACCCATCCCCCTTCCTGGGCTGTTCGACATGTACACGCGTCTGTGGGAGGTGGGGCAGCATGAGCGTTTATTTGCAGTCACAGGATGCATTGTATTGCTCACTTTCCCCCCTCTTTCTCTATCTCATGTGCATGACCCTCCCTCCCTGCACCCATTCCCACCCCTCCCCCGTCCCCATCAGTCACTGCTGGACATGTACACGATTCAGCTTGAGGTGGGGCGGCTGGACAACATCCGCGTGGGGCTGGTGGGCGACCTGGCCAACGGCAGGACGGCACGCTCCCTGGCCTACCTGCTCGCCAAGTTCCGCAACAAGAAGATCATCTTCGTCGCACCGCCCGTCGTCCGCATGAAGGTGCCTTCATAGTCCTCTCCTTGCCTGCCACTTTGCTTGTTGCATAGTCCCATCCCTCACACCCTGCCTCGCTTATCACTGTTTCCGGGTCCAGTGGCTGTGTCACTTGGTCATGTCATTCACCCTTCATGCCCCCTTCAAGCCACCCCCAAGCCTGCACTCTCTGCTTGTCATGATCTCCTCTTGTCGCCCCACTCCACCACTGCACCGGGCAGGACGACATCAAGCCAGTATCTGACAGCGCGGGCGTGGAGTGGGAGGAGTCAGCAGATCCCTTCATGTACCCCTCAAGCCTGCACTCCCGGCTTGTCGTGATCCACCCCACCCCACTGCCGCCCCACCCCACTGCCGCACCAAGCAGGACGTCATCAAGGAGTATCTGACGGCGCGCGGCGTGGAGTGGGAGGAGTCAGCAGACCTGATGGACGTGGCGGCGCAGTGCGACGTGGTGTACCAGACGCGCATTCAGAAGGAGCGGTTCAGAGGGCGCATGGAGGAGTACGAGGCGGCGCGCGGCAAGTACATTGTGGACCGGCGTGTGATGAACGCACTGGGGAAGGATGCCATTGTCATGCATCCGCTGCCCCGGCTTGACGAGGTGAGAGGGTGGAGGGACTGGTTGTCTGTTTGTGTGTGTGTGTGTGTGTGTGTGTGTGTGTGTGTGTGTGTGTGTGTGTGTGTGTGTGTGTGTGCGTGTGTGTGTGTGTGTGCAGTGAAGGGGAAGCAGTGAAGGGGAAGCAGTGAAGGGGAAGCAGTGAAGGAGGAGAACTGACGGGAATCGATAAGGAGTAAAAGAGGGGGAGAGGGTGGGTGGATGGTGAAAAAGTGAAGCAGTGAAGCAATACAGGCCAGGATTGTATCTGGAGATGCAGAGAAGTAGCTGAGTAGAGAAGATGTGGCGAGCTGATTCTTACCCAGCCCAGTACTCCTATGTTGCGTGTTTAGCTTGTTAGTGGTCAGGTGGTACCTCTATTGGATGTTCTTTCGGTCTCATAGAAGGATCAATATCAGATTGCAGCTTTCTCGCACCACTCCTGATTGCTGTAAGCTCCCTGGTCTTAATCAGAATCAAGTCGCTTCAAGTGTTATGAGTTGTAAAAGAGAGTGCGCAGGTAAACGAATAACGAGGCTGTGACTGAATGCACTCAGAATACAATGAAGGAACACACTAATGTAGGAGCTAGCCTAGCTAGGAGGAAACCTCGGACGAGCGAGGTTGGGGTGCAGGTTTGGCGATGGAAAATGCCAAAGGCGACGCGAGGAGCCTCGGCAGCGTTGAAATCGGCCGAACGTGCGAAGTCCGAAAATCGGGCTGTACGCGTAGCAGTCAACCCGATAAGGAATTAAGGAAAATTCCTTACACTACTGTCAGAGGTCTACTGGTGATCCCCGATTGATCCTAGGGAAGGGTTACAGGCATGTTGGCCTGGGGGGTTATGGGCGCACTGACCCGCTACTTAACAAGCCCTTTTATCCCAGTGGTCTAGTGGTTGGGATTCTGACATGTTATCAGAGTGGTTCTAATCTTAGGACCTAATCTCAATGGGCCCACCAAACCCGCCATCTCTGATGGCGGCATATTTTTCTGCTGCCGGCGTCGAGCTCGCCTCCCTGCACGGTTCACGGGCGTTGCGGATCGCACAGCGCCGAACGCGGCCGCCAGCGCCGACGCCAGCGCCGAACTCGCCCGCCAGCGCCAACGCCAGCGCCGAACGCGGCAGCAAGCGCCGATGCCAGCGCCGAACGCGGCTGCCAGCGCCGACGCCAGCGCCAAACGCGGCCGCCAGCGCTGACGCCAGCGCCGACCGCGGCCGCCAGCGCCCAACGCCGACGCGTACGCCAGCGCCAGGCGCCAGCGATGTGCGCCAGCGCGACCTGCTGCCCCCCCGTCGCCCCTGCTCCCCGTCGCCCCTCCCCGTTTCGTCGCCCTCCCGTGGCGTCCCTCGCATGGTCTCTGCCGTGCGTGTGGTGGTGGGGTGGTGCCCGAGAGTAGGGGAGGCGGGGGTGGGTGACTCGGCCTCCCCGCTCTCCTCTCTGTCCCTGCAGCGGCTGGTGCTGAAGGGGAGTGGGGGGGAGGGGGTGGTTGACGCCACTCTGCTGCTACGCCACGCTGCCGCCCGCCTTCTCCCTCTCCCTTCTACTCGTGCAGCCGAGGAGGGGGTGGAGGGAGGGTGTTGGGGTGGCGGGTCTGACAAACCAGCGGCAGTCCCTCCTCCTCTCTCTCTTCCTGCCGCCCCTCCTGGGGTGGGGGGCAAGGGGAGGGGGAGGGTGAGGGGGTGGCGGGGGTGACCAGCATGCGCCAGCCCACCTCCTCTCTCTTCCTGCCGCCCCTCCTGGGGTGGGGGGGAGGGGGGGGGAGGGTGAGGGGGTGGCGTTGGAGGACGGATGGGGGGGAAGGCGTGAGGTTCCAGGGGGCGGTTGACAAGGTTGGTGAGGTTGAGGGGGGTGGCTGAAAGAGGGTGTGGACTTGGGGGTTCGTAAGAGGGGCTCACCGCGCTTGGCTCCCCCCACCTCCTCTCCTCCCTCTCTCACCCTACCCCCCTTTGTAAAAAGGGGGTTCGTAAGAGGGGCTCGCCGCGCTTGGCTCCCCCCACCTCCTCTCCTCATCACTCTCTCACCCACCCCTTTGTAAAACGGGGGTTCGTAAGAGGGGCTCGCCGCGTGGCTCCCCCACCTCCTCTCCTCATCCCTCTCCTCTCTCTCTCTCTCTCTCTCTCTCTCTCTCTCTCTCTCTCTCTCTCTCTCTCTCTCTCTCTCTCTCTCTCTCTCGCCTCCTCCTCCTCAATTACCTCCTTACCGTCGTCCACTGCGCGTGGTGTACCCCTTCAGGGGGCGTTAACTTCACATTGCTATTCCTGCATGCAGTTAGGGGGTGTGTCAGAATATATTTTTGTATAACTGCATGTAGTTCTAGCTGTAGTGTAGTTCTATTGCTGTCCTGTTAGGTGGTGCACCCTTTGGCTTGCTATAACTTGTAACTCTTCTCATAGTGAACACACATTCTTGTTTCTCCCTTGGTCAACACCCTCGACCTCACCCTTGCTACTCTCGTTCTAACTAAACCCTAGGCTACTAAGCCTACTAAGTTAAGAACCTATTTCAACAACTACCCCCCCCCCCTTAAGAAAGGCGGTCAATATCCGAGACATACTTGCGCGCCAAATAATCAGCAACAAGTGACGAGGCGGTCAGCGAGTCAGAATGCACCCACGTGTCATCGTCACTGGTGCGGTCAGTCCAACGGATTAGGAAATCCACGTGGTGACCAGCTGCGTCGAGGCGAACCCGATGTGCCAAAATCTTCAAAGGTTCGAGAGTTGGTTCCGGGACAGGTCGTGCAGTCGGGGCAGCTTGTTGCCTTGCGATGTCGGTCGTGGCTGGCACGAACTTCCGAAGCAGGCTGACGTGGAAGGCGTCATGAATGCGCCAGTCGTCGGGTAGTAGCAGCTTCGCGGTGACAGGTGTCACCATCTTGATAATCTTGAAGGGTCCACAAAATCGTGGTCGTAATTTCGACGGTCCGGGTAGGTGCAGGTTCTTCGTGTCAAGTAACACTAGTTGCCCAGTAGTCAAGACGAGTTCCCGGCGTAGAAGATTGGTGTATTTTCGGGAAGTGATATTCGCCTTGCGAATTGCGTCCGCGGCTTTTTTTTGGACTTCCTGAAGTTCCGTCACAAAAGTCTGTGACCTCGGGACCGGGTTGTCGAGAGTAGTTGCCGTAGGAACTGTTGGGTCCATCCCGTAATTCAGGAAGAACGGGGAGTGATTAGTCGTGCTGGACGGCGCGTTGTTGATGTCAGAATCCCAACCACTAGACCATTGGGATAAAAGGGCTTGTTAAGTAGCGGGTCAGTGCGCCCATAACCCCCCAGGCCAACATGCCTGTAACCCTTCCCTAGGATCAATCGGGGATCACCAGTGGACCTCTGACATCCCCCCGCACTGGGATGCCCGAAGTGCACACACTGGGATTCGAACCCGAGACCTTCGCTCTGATGCCATGTCAGAATCCCAACCACTAGACCATTGGGATAAAAGGGCTTGTTAAGTAGCGGGTCAGTGCGCCCATAACCCCCCAGGCCAACATGCGTGTAACCCTTCCCTAGGATCAATCGGGGATCACCAGTGGACCTCTGACAGTTGAAAGCGAACTCCAACATTGCGAGGGATTCTTCCCAGCGGGCAGGGTCGGGGCAGTTTGTCCTGAACAGCTGCTCCATGGTCTGGTTGGTCCGCTCGGTTTGACCGTCCGTCTGTGGATTATATGCCGATGAGAACTGTAGCTTCGTGCTGTACCGCGCCCACGTCTCTTTCCAGAACTTTGATGTGAACTTCGGGTCTCGGTCGCTGATGATCGCCGAAGGGATGCCGTGCAGTCGCACGACCGTTGAGATGAAGAGGCGCGCAGTTTCTTCGGCTGTGATTGTTGTTCGGCATGGGGCGAAGTGTGCCATTTTCGTGAAGCGATCGACGACGACGAGCACTGCGTCGTTGCCGGACGGTCCAGCTGGCATCCCCGTGACGAAATCCATCGTCACTTGCTGCCATGGTCGTTCGGGTGGCTCAAGGGGTTGCAGTAGCCCAGCTGGTCGCTGACGTGTCGATTTCATTGCTTGGCACACCCTGCATGAGGACACATAGCGCTGTACGTCGTTAGAGGAATCAGGCCAGTAATATTGACGGTGCAGTAGTTTCTGGGTTTTATCAACCCCGAAGTGTCCGGAGAAGTTAGAATCGTGGACTTCTTGGAGAAGGAGTTCACGCAGCAGCCTGTAAGCGGGGACCCAAATCCGGTCGGTTCCGGCTTTTAGGTAATAGTCCCCCTTCTGCGTCGTAGCCTGCTGATGATTTCCAGTCGTGAAGAATGGGTCCGTAGTGTAGCCGTGGGTAAATAGTCCGGTAAGTAACGGGTTCGAGTGGGTGATGAGTACTGCAGCGGATTGTACTGTCGGTCGGGTCAGGGCGTCGGCGATGTTATTCGCCCCCTTTTTGTACGTGATGCGGTAGGTGAAGTGGCTCTCCATGTAGTCCAGCCACCGAATCTGTCGTGGGTTGAGGTTGGGTTGGGCTCGTAGGTACTGTAGGGACTTGTGGTCTGTGCGAACAGTGACGTCGGCGCCCACCAGGTAGCATCGCCATAATTTAAACGCGTGTATGATGGCGAGCATCTCCTTGTCGTGGATCGGGTAGTTGCGTTCGGCCGCCTGCAGCTTGCGTGATTCGTAAGCTATCGGCTGCAACCCGTTCCCGAAATCTTGGAGTAGCACAGCTCCGATGGCGAAATCTGAGGCGTCGGTGACGACTTCGAACGGTTTCGATGGGTCGGCGATGCGCAGCACAGGAGGGGAAACGAGAAAATTCTTGAGTTCCTGGAAAGCCGCTTCAGCCTCCTCCCCCCACACAAAATTTCTGTCCTTGTGCAGCAGGTCGGTCAGTGGGCCGGTTATCCCCGCCATATTCATGATAAACCGCCTGACGTAATTCACGAATCCGAGAAAACTCTGGAGTTCCGTGACATTCGTCGGGGACTTCCACTCCTGTATGGTCTTGATTTTCGCCGGGTCGATCTTAATGCCGTCGCGCGAGATGACGTGCCCCAAAAATTCCAACTCCTGCTTAAAAAACTCGCACTTAGAGCCCTTAGTGATGAGTCGGTTCTCCTGCAACCGCTTAAACACTGCATCCAGGTCACGGAGGTGCTGCTCTCGTGTCTTGCTAAAAATGAGGATATCGTCCAAATAGACGATGACGCAACGGTCTAGAAGATCCCGAAAAACCCTGTTCATGGTCAGTTGAAATGTCGAAGGCGCGTTCGTGAGGCCGAAAGGCATCACCGTGAATTCGTAACCCCCGTAGCGTGTGCGAAACGCGGTCTTGTGACAATCGTCAGCGAAGACCCGAATCTGGTGGTAACCGCCACGTAAGTCGATTTTCGAGAAGTAGCGAGCGCCGCGAAGTTGGTCAAGAAGGTCGTCGGTGCGTGGGATTGGGTAGCGAGACTTGATGGTCACCCGGTTCAACGCGCGATAATCGATGCACATGCGAAGTCCACCGTCCTTCTTCGGAGTGAACAGGATTGGTGCCGCGAACAGAGAGGTGCTCGCCCGAATGAACCCTTTCTCCAACAGTGCGTCAATTTGTCGGCGCAGCTCCTCGAGTTCCGGCTGGGTCAACCGCCACTATGTCCGAACAGTTGGTTGCGCGCCAGGCTCCAGCTGGATTTTATGGTCTTCGGGTCTCTCGGGTGGCAGCCCAGGTGGCAGGTCGTCCGGGAAAATGTCGGGGTACTGTCGAATCAGCTCCGCTAAATCCGGAGGTACAGCTGCACACAGCTTCTCAATGTCCTTTCCGTCGGTGTCGACTGCCAACTCGCGTAAGCAGACAGCGAACAGCTGCGCGCCCTTGTTGAAGTGGCGAGCTATAGTGATGGCTTTGACGCACGGGGCTTGGATGTAGTCAGGTGTCCATGCAGGCAGCCGAATTAGCCCCTCGTGCTTGCTGATGCTGCACGATCCCGTTGTCCAGTCGATGACGGGGTTGTGTCGTCGCAGCCAATCGCGTCCCAGCAATACGTCGCAGCCGTCCAATGTTGTCGCAAGAAACTTCATGCCGAAGCCGAAATCGTCGCCGCATTCGATCCTGACCGTCCGTGTTTCTTCCGTTATCGCCAGAGGCGTCCCATCCACGAGGCGTGCGTCGATTTCGGGCAGACACCTGTCAAGTTGCAGCTTGCATCTTTTTGCGCTCGCCAAATTGAAGAGGCTATGGCTGGCCCCTCCATCAACGAACATTTTCAAATTATTTTTTTAACACCTTGCCAGCGACCAGCACAGGGTGATCCACATGTGTATCCCCGTTATCCGGCCGAGTGCGATCGATTGCATGAATCGGAACCACGACTCGGTGGGGATGATGGTGTTCGGGCGACGGAGCACAGTCAGTAAAGGGCCCGCTAATTACTGACTCTTCCCATTTCCCTGCTCCTTCCTGTCATCCCCTGTCAGCGGCATTTTCTCCTGGCAGTCTTTCCTGTAGTGACCCACCTTCCCACACCGAAAACACGGACCCTTAGGAGGGCGGTCGGGTGTATGGACGGCGTTGATCGTGGCCCGATGGGTCTGGCCACGAAAGCTTCTCCCATCCCTGGAAGCTGCTCTCGCGTACTGCATCAGCGCATCAGTTGACTCCGCCAGCCGTACTGCTTCGAGAAACGATGTCGGGCGGCCCCTGCGAACCTCAAACTATATTTCGTATTTAAGGCCGCTGACGTACTTATCAAACCGCTCTGCTTCCGACATGCCGTCGATTTGGTCGGCGAAGCCCATAAATGACGCCGTGTAGTCTTGGACAGAAGCCATCTGCGACCATGCACGCAGCTTCATGCGAGCTTGCTCCGAGGCGGATACGTGCTCGAAGCGATCTCGTAAGGCTGCGCCCCACTCCTTCCACGTGCGTATCTTGGTCACACCGAAGATTGGTTCTGCCACTTGATTAACCACTGTAGAGGTCCCGTCTGCCGCATGTGTCACACCTGTCGGCGTCCCTGTTTCCAAGGTCCGGCGCCACCATTCAAGCGCTGCACCTCGAAGAAGCGAAACCGCGTAATTAATACGCGTGGCGTCGTCATTAACTCCGGCTGCAGTGAAAAAGACTTCGACCCCGAACAGCCACCCTTTTACCGTAACCGTCTTGTCCGTAGGATTAAACGGGGGCGGGTTGGCGGGCTTTATCTTGATCGTCGTCACTGCAACTGGCGCTGCTGCCGCTCGCTGCCTATCTTCTTCTTCGAAGTCACGTGTGAGCGCATCCAGCGGATTGCTCATCGCTTGACTGTTGCCCTCGCCTTCGTCCACAGGCGACTCCTGACGCGCTTCACCTCGCGTCTGGCGTAGCTCGGCGTTTTCCTCCCGTAACGTTGTCACTTCCGCCATTAATGATTCCATGCCCTGCTTCATTTCTGCCACTTGCGCCATCAGCCGGTTAACAGCCTCCTGATCCATGTGCCTAGCACTACGTCTGGTGGGCAGTCGGGTACCCGTGGCCTCCCGGCAAGTGAAAACACGAACTATCGGAGTCGGGCAGGATTGAATTAACAATCCCTGCAACCAACCGTCGTGTAGTCTCTAAACCAACCACACCCGTGCAACCAAACTACCCTCGAAAAGCGGGGTGAACTAAGAAAGTAGCTCTAATACCAGGTGTTATGAGTTGTAAAAGAGAGTGCGCAGGTAAACGAATAACGAGGCTGTGACTGAATGCACTCAGAATACAATGAAGGAACACACTAATGTAGGAGCTAGCCTAGCTAGGAGGAAACCTCGGACGAGCGAGGTTGGGGTGCAGGTTTGGCGATGGAAAATGCCGAAGGCGACGCGAGGAGCCTCGGCAGCGTTGAAATCGGCCGAACGTGCGAAGTCCGAAAAACGGGCTGTACGCGTAGCAGTCAACCCGATAAGGAATTAAGGAAAATTCCTTACATCAAGTGTGGTGTTGCAAGTTTTAGAGGTACCACAGTAACAGACTAGGAAAGAACGAGTTATTTGAGGAATGAGTGCAACAGCGTCACAGGTACGAATGCAGTTAGGTTGTTGCAGTATATGGGACGGGATGTGGTGAATGGGGAGGACACCTCTATTGACGGAGAATAGTTTCAAGGCACCATACAGCAGTAACAAAGAGGCACAACAATCACAGATAAGGTTGTAACACATCCGTGGCACTGGCACCCTTATAGGGCACTCTGCTTGTACCTACTGCACGTGTCACCCAAGGTAACACGTGCAGTGCATCTACCGTAACTGCAGGGAGTGGACTTCGAATTCATTCACACTGGACGCCACTCCCATCTGCTGCTTCCAACTGCTCTGACGCCCACTTTGTGGCTCAAACAAGCACGGCACTTCGCTTCTCATATATTGTACGCCCTGAGATGAAACACACGGTTGAGCCAGACGTTTTCTCCTAAGGTGCTTCGAGGTGGGCCTGTGCTGCTCGCAGGTGCCCATTGCAGCAGTCCCAGGCGCGTCACACCTTGGATGCTGCACCCCCTCGCACCCACTTGGCCAGCTGCTCCTTGCCCTGCTCGTCCCACCCACCACACCCTCCCACGCACACACGCACACCCATACCCACACCACACCCTCACTCATCCACACCCGCACCCACACACACATGCACGCTCACACACACTCGCATGCATGAGCAGAGGCACAACAGCACAGACAGAGGCAGGTGAGTGGTCGCACTTGCAATGAGCCAGAGAGGGAGTGAGCAACAAGCACAGAAATGCTAACAAGCACAGCAATGCTAACAAGCACAGCAATGCTAACAAGCACAGCAATGCTAACAAGCACAGCAATGCTAACAAGCACAGCACTGCTAACAAGCACAGCAATGCTAACAAGGACAGCACTGCTGACAAGCACAGCACTGCTGACAAGCACAGCACTGCTGACAAGCACAGCACTGCTGACAAGCACAGCACTGCTGACAAGCACAGCACTGCTGACAAGCACAGCACTGCTGACAAGCACAGCACTGCTGACAAGCACAGCACTGCTGACAATCACAGCACTGCTGACAAGCACAGCACTGCTGACAAGCACAGCACTGCTGACAAGCACAGCACTGCTGACAAGCACAGCACTGCTGACAAGCACAGCACTGCTGACAAGCACAGCACTGCTGACAAGCACAGCACTGCTGACAAGCACAGCACTGCTGACAAGCACAGCACTGCTGACAATCACAGCACTGCTGACAAGCACAGCACTGCTGACAAGCACAGCACTGCTGACAAGCACAGCACTGCTGACAAGCACAGCACTGCTGACAAGCACAGCACTGCTGACAAGCACAGCACTGCTGACAAGCACAGCACTGCTGACAAGCACAGCACTGCTGACAAGCACAGCACTGCTGACAAGCACAGCACTGCTGACAAGCACAGCACTGCTGACAAGCACAGCACTGCTGACAAGCACAGCACTGCTGACAAGCACAGCACTGCTGACAAGCACAGCACTGCTGACAAGCACAGCACTGCTGACAAGCACAGCACTGCTGACAAGCACAGCACTGCTGACAAGCACAGCACTGCTGACAAGCACAGCACTGCTGACAAGCACAGCACTGCTGACAAGCACAGCACTGCTGACAAGCACAGCACTGCTGACAAGCACAGCACTGCTGACAAGCACAGCACTGCTGACAAGCACAGCACTGCTGACAAGCACAGCACTGCTGACAAGCACAGCACTGCTGACAAGCACAGCACTGCTGACAAGCACAGCACTGCTGACAAGCACAGCACTGCTGACAAGCACAGCACTGCTGACAAGCACAGCACTGCTGACAAGCACAGCACTGCTGACAAGCACAGCACTGCTGACAAGCACAGCACTGCTGACAAGCACAGCACTGCTGACAAGCACAGCACTGCTGACAAGCACAGCACTGCTGACAAGCACAGCACTGCTGACAAGCACAGCACTGCTGACAAGCACAGCACTGCTGACAAGCACAGCACTGCTGACAAGCACAGCACTGCTGACAAGCACAGCACTGCTGACAAGCACAGCACTGCTGACAAGCACAGCACTGCTGACAAGCACAGCACTGCTGACAAGCACAGCACTGCTGACAATCACAGCACTGCTGACAAGCACAGCACTGCTGACAAGCACAGCACTGCTGACAAGCACAGCACTGCTGACAAGCACAGCACTGCTGACAAGCACAGCACTGCTGACAATCACAGCACTGCTGACAAGCACAGCACTGCTGACAAGCACAGCACTGCTGACAAGCACAGCACTGCTGACAAGCACAGCACTGCTGACAAGCACAGCACTGCTGACAAGCACAGCACTGCTGACAAGCACAGCACTGCTGACAAGCACAGCACTGCTGACAAGCACAGCACTGCTGACAAGCACAGCACTGCTGACAAGCACAGCACTGCTGACAAGCACAGCACTGCTGACAAGCACAGCACTGCTGACAAGCACAGCACTGCTGACAAGCACAGCACTGCTGACAAGCACAGCACTGCTGACAAGCACAGCACTGCTGACAAGCACAGCACTGCTGACAAGCACAGCACTGCTGACAAGCACAGCACTGCTGACAAGCACAGCACTGCTGACAAGCACAGCACTGCTGACAAGCACAGCACTGCTGACAAGCACAGCACTGCTGACAATCACAGCACTGCTGACAAGCACAGCAATGCTAACAAGCACAGCACTGCTAACAAGCACAGCAATGCTGACAAGCACAGCACTGCTGACAAGCACAGCACTGCTGACAAGCACAGCACTGCTGACAAGCACAGCACTGCTGACAAGCACAGCACTGCTGACAAGCACAGCACTGCTGACCGTGCCTTGGTGACTCGTGCCCTTGTGACCCGTGCCCTTGTGACCCGTGCCCTGATGACCCGTGCCCTGATGACCCGTGGCCTGATGACCCGTGCCCTGATGACCCGTGGCCTGATGACCCGTGCCCTGACACGCAGAGCAATGATGACCCGTGGCCTGATGACCCGTGCCCTGACACGCAGAGCAATGATGACCCGTGGCCTCAAGCATATGCAGCCCAGCAGGCGCACCTGTCTGGGCGGCACACTGACCTGTCTGGGCGGCACACTGACCTGTCTGGGCGGCACACTGACCTGTCTGGGCGGCACACTGACCTGTCTGGGCGGCACACTGACCTGTCTGGGAGGCACACTGACCTGTCTGGGCGGCACACTGACCTGTCTGGGCGGCACACTGACCTGTCTGGGCGGCACACTGACCTGTCTGGGCGGCACACTGACGGTGGGCAGATCCTCTGCCGTGAAGCCCAGCGGCTGCAGCACCTCCGCATAGCTGCACGGGCCGCACGTGGGGGGGGGGGGGGAGCAAGGTAGTGGCAGCATGAGGGATGGTGGCAGTGGAGAGCGCGGCAGACGAGCGAGCGAGCGAGGAGGGAGGCGTGGAGGGAGGCGAGGAGGAAGGCGCGGAGGGAGGCGCGGAGGGAGGCGCGGAGGGAGGTGGGGAACAGGAATGCGGAAGCCCAGGATGGGAGGGGCAGGAAGAGATGAGGAGAAACAAATGACAACGGCAACACGGGCTGCATAGGTCGAGCAGGAGTAGCAGGTGGGAGGCGGGCGAACAGCGGATGTGCGGAAAGGACCAGGCGGAGCAGGGAGGGCAGGGGGGCAGGGGGGAGCTAGGGGGACAGGGGGGAAGGGGGAGAGAGCAGGGAAAAGGAGGACAGGGAAGACAGGGGGGACAAGGGGGACAGGGGGAAGTGGGGCCAGGGGCCAGGGGGGAGACGAGAGACAGGAGGGGCGCACCTGTCCTTGGAGACGGCATACGGCGGGCCGCCCTCGTGGGCGCCGATCTGCAGGCGGGGAGCACACACGAGGCATGAGGGCAGACAGACAGGCGTGGGCCGTGAGCAGAGAGCAGCGGGGAGAGCAGTGATTACGGTTTGCACATAGGAAGCACGCGAGGGTGCATTCATACATGCGGAAAACACGAGGACACAGATGAACATACAATGATAGGCGTGCAAAGATATGCACGGGAAATATGACAGGGTGCAGGGGCACGCATGGTGAGAGGGTGCAGGGGCACGCACGGGGAACATGAGAGTGAAGAGCACCCCGTGTGGTGCCAGCAGCTCCGCTGTCTTGGCCGCCCACTTGCCCCTCAGTGACGGCGGCAGCGCACAGAAGAACCTGCACGCAGGGAGGGCCGTGGGGAGGGACACGGGGGCATGGGGGGAAGCGGGCATGGAGGCATGGTGCATGGGGGCGCAAGGTTGTGAGGGCCATGGCAGGGGGGATGACGGGTACGTCACTTAGTGACAATAGGAGAGAATGAGGCACGAGAGAGGCCGGAGCGATTGAGATGCCGGGCGATTGAGATGCTGGGCGATTGAGATGCTGGGCGATTGAGATGCTGGGCGATTGAGATGCTGGGCGATTGAGATGCTGGGCGATTGAGATGCTGGGCGATTGAGATGCTGGGCGATTGAGATGCTGGGCGATTGAGATGCTGGGCGATTGAGATGCTGGGCGATTGAGATGCTGGGCGATTGAGATGCTGGGCGATTGAGATGCTGGGCGATTGAGATGCTGGGCGATTGAGATGCTGGGCACAAGACAGGGGAAAGGAGAGAAGAAGAGGGATGGCTGGTGTGGCCGCAAGTGCTTGGCATGTGAGGGGGTGCGCGGGAGAGCGGCGTGTGGTGAGAGGCAGAGGGGGGGGGCTCACGGGCAGTCAACGATGGCATGGAAGGGCTGTGCGGGGCGGTACTCAAAGAAGTCGGCGCACTCAAACGCCATGGCCGCCCTGTTGCCCGCCCCCTCCAACCGCTGGGGTAAGCAGCGGCGGGATGAGGTTGGGCGGGAGGGGGAAAGGGTTGAGAGGTTGAAAGTGTAAAGGGGGTTAAGAGGGTAAATAACATGGGCAGCAGGGGAGGAGTGGAAAGGAGTGGGAGGGCAGGGGTGTGAGCAAAGGGATGGGCGAAGAGGGGAAGGGCGAATGGCTGCAGTGCTGGCGGCACGGGCGCTGCCCACCCGCTTGTGCTGCGCTGCCCACCCGCTTGTGCTGCGCTGCCCACCCGCTTGTGCTGCGCTGCCCACCCGCCTGGGCGAGTTGTACCCATCAAGCAAGATGAGGGACGTGCGCTGAGGCAGCACCCATGCCATGTCCGCCCACCTTCTGCATGCCACGCGCACCCACCTTCTCTGCATGCCACGTGCACCCACCTTCTCTGCATGCCACGCGCACCCACCTTCTCTGCATGCCACGCGCACCCACCTTCTCTGCATGCCACGCGCACCCACCTTCTCTGCATGCCACGCGCACCCACCTTCTCTGCATGCCACGCGCACCCACCTTCTCTGCATGCCACGCGCACCCACCTTCTCTGCATGCCACGCGCACCCACCTTCTCTGCATGCCACGCGCACCCACCTTCTCTGCATGCCACGTGCACCCACCTTCTCTGCATGCCACGCGCACCCACCTTCTCTGCATGCCACGTGCACCCACCTTCTCTGCATGCCACGTGCACCCACCTTCTCTGCATGCCACGTGCACCCACCTTCTCTGCATGCCACGTGCACCCACCTTCTCTGCATGCCACGTGCACCCACCTTCTCTGCATGCAGCGTGCACCCACCTTCTCTGCATGTGCCACAGCAGCCGGCGAGATGTCAAGGCCCGTCGCCTCCCTGCCACTCGATGCCAACGCCTCCACGTCGAACCCCTGCCATGCCATGCCATGCCATGCCAAGGTATCCAACATCATCCCATGCCATCCATGCCATGCCATGTCATTCCATCCATCCCATGCAATGGCATCGAACATCATCCCATGCCATGGCATGCCATGGAGTATAGGAGAGGATTGATGCACTCTGAGTGCAGTGCAGTAGACAGGGGATGGGCGGAAACAAAAGGAGCGCAGTGGACAGGAAACGAGAGGAGTGGAGAGGAGAGGAGAGGTGAGGAGAGGAGAGGAGAGGAGAGGAGAGGAGAGGAGCGGAGAGGAGTGGAGAGGAGAGGAGAGGAGCGGAGAGGAGTGGAGAGGAGAGGAGAGGAGCGGAGAGGAGTGGAGAGGAGAGGAGAGGAGAGGAGCGGAGAGGAGTGGAGAGGAGAGGAGCGGAGAGGAGTGGAGAGGAGAGGAGAGAGGAGCGGAGAGGAGTGGAAAGGAGAGTGGAGGAGAGGTTTGGTGAGTTGGTACAAGTTTGGTGAAGGGAACGTGAGGGCGATGGGAACGGGAAGCGAGGGCGACGGGAAGGGGAAGCGAGGGTCCAAGATCCCCCCATGCCATGCCATGCCATGGACCCACGGCATGGCAGTAACCAAGTAGCAATCATTGCGCATGCCTTGGACTACGCTCCCTCCTGCTACAGCCCGGCTCACATGTTCCGTGAAAGAACAACTGTGAAATCCCGTGCTACAGCCGGGCGCCAGGCACTCACGGTGCCACAGCCGGGGACGAGCACGCGGCGGATGGAGGGCGGCAGGTGCAGCGGCGACCCCTCTTCCGCCGCCACGAGCGCCGCTACAGCCGGCGTCACGCCGCCCAGATCCCACGGCGTCGTGCTCGCCTGCCACGCCTTGTCCCACCCGCCTGGCGCCAGGGCGCGGGGGAGGAATGAAAAGTAGGGTTGGGTTTTCCCACAGGAATGCGGAGGGGTGCGGAGCGGCGAGTCTAGGCAATTGGGGGTGGTGGGGGCGGGGAGGAGCGAGAGGCGAGGACGTCTAATCAGCCACCTTAGCGCAAGTGTACCGTAAGCGATCCACGCAAAATGGTTGATGCGCCTTGGCGTGAGGATGACGGAGGGCAAACAGCACAGACGCGCAGGCACGGACGGACAAATTTGAGCCTTTGCGACGGCGTGCTTCGCGGCAGCCATCGCCGGCATTGCGCGATTCCAGACGCATATGCGCGTCCCAAAAAATGGAGAGAGGCTCACCCACTGGGTCGTCGGCCAGAAGCTGCCGAAACTCGTTCATCCCCGGAATGCTCTTCGGCGCGTCCAACGCGACTTCCCCTTCCGCCGGAGTGGACGCGTGCTGAGTCATGCCGCGTGCGAGGGTGCTCGCAAACGAATCGATTTCCGGCGATTGCGCTGAAGGATATGCAGAAGACGCGATGCGATCAATCACAGAGCCCTTGCGGAAAAGGGCTTGTTAGACGAATGCCCGCGACGGTATCATCCTCCGATTATGCAAGCAGAGGGAAAATAGCTGGACAGCTGTAGGGATCTTGCAAACAAAAAAAAAGTCCTGGCCCCCAAAACATGCCCGCACGTGGAATCCACGTCGTGGAGTGTCGAGCCATGCCCGTCATGCAGGGCACAAACGAGCTCCGTGCGTGTCAACCGGCATCACCTCCGAATATGTCGCCAGCGACCTAGGTCGCAACCTATCACGGAACCTCGCAGCCCCTACTCACCGGCCTACGTCACCGAACGACCGTCAAACCTTCGCCACCTCGACAGGTTCCCCTCCCTTGACATCGTTTCGGCGCCAGGTAAGTTGCTGCCCCCCCTGGCCCAGCCCACTCGCGACGTCTAACTTCGTGCACTGTTCCAGTATCCTATTCAAGTATCCTGTTCCAGTATCGCCACGACACGCCGCTCCCCCGACGGCTGCAACCACTAGTCCACCACCCCTAGACTAGTCCGGACTGGGCTCTGCCAAAAAAATCTGCCGACGAGGTAAATTCTACACACAAGTCCAGACTACATTTTCCAGGGGCTCGTATTGTTTTCACTATGAAACGCAGTCGGGAGCTTGTCGTGGCCATGCCAGCGAGCTACACTGAATCGAACAACGAACTTGCTGTATAACAAATCTATTTCTGGAGAGTCCAGGATTGTGGGTTTTTGACAAGGACAAAACGGTGCCTCAATGATGGCATGGGAAAAAATGTCACTTTTAAGGTTCATTCAACATGGATGTTTGGAAATATAAACCATCCATTTACTTGTTCTTGATAACTGGTTTCTAGGTGGCTGGTTATTTTTATCCTGTCTTCTGTTGACCTCTTGTCATCCATGCCCTCGTCACACTTTGGATGCTGCAGCTGCTCGCACCCACTTGGCCAACTGCTCCTTGCCCTGCACGTCCCCACCGCACACACGCACCCACCATGCACCCACCCACACCCTCCCACACCCACACCCACACCCACACACACACCCACACCCACCTCCCCTCCCTCACACACACACATGCTTGCATGCACGAACACAGACACAACCACACACACAGAGGCAGGTGGGGCGCACAAGCAATGAGCCAAAGACGGAGCGGGCAACACGCCGAGCAATGGTGACCCGTGGCCTCAAGCATATGCAGCCCAGCAGGCGTACCTGTCTGGGCGGCACACTGACCTGTCTGGGCGGCAAACTGACCTGTCTGGGCGGCACACTGACGGTGGGCAGATCCTCTGCCGTGAATCCCAGCGGCTGCAGCACCTCCGCATAGCTGCACGGGCAGCACGTGGGGGGGGGGGGGGGAGGGGGAGGGGGGGGCAAGCAGTGGCGGCATGAGGGGTCGGTGGTGGTGGCGAGTGCGTCAGGAGAGGGAGCGGAGAGAGGAGGGAGGAGCGGATGGAGGGTTGGGAACAGAAATGCGGAGGCCAAGGATAGGGAGGCGAGAGATGGGAGGGGCAGGAAGGGCAGAGGAGAAAGAAATGGCGATTACAGCGAGGGCTGCATAGGGGCGCGCAGGAGGCGCAGGGGGGAGGGGGGCCAACGGCGGATGTGACAAGCGGACCAAGTGGAGAGGGAGTACAAGGGGGAAAGTGGGAGAGTAGGGAAAGGGGAGACAAGGAAAACAGGTTGAACAGGGGGGAGTGGGGGGAGGAGCGACGGGGGGCAAGGGGGAGAGGAGGGGCGAGGGGGGGCATGGGGGAGTGGGGGCAGGGGCGCACCTGTCCTTGGAGACAGCATACGGCGGGCCGCCCTCGTGTCCATCGATCTGCAGGCGAGGGGCACGCAGCGAGGGACAGACACACAGACAGCCGTTGCGCCGTGAGCACACAGCAGGGATTAGGTTTCGCCCATAAAAGCACATGAGGGTGCATTGATGCGTGGAGGTAACACGAGGGCACACATGAACATTGAATAATAGGCGAGCATGGATACGCATGGTGAGAGCGTGCAGGGGCACGCACGGGGAACATGAGAGGGTGCAATGGATACGCACGGGGAACATGAGCGTGAAGAGCACCCCGTGTGGTGCGAGCAGCTCCGCTGTCTTGGCCGCCCACTTGCCCCTCAGCGATGGCGGCAGCGCACAGAAGAAGCTGCACGCAGGGAGGGCCGTGGGGAGGGGCATGCGGGCACGCGGGCAAGGAAGGATGGTGCGTGGGTGCGTGAGGGTGTGAGGGGCAGGGCAGGGGTGATGGGGCATGTGAGCACTGAGAGGGACTGGTTGAGGGGGAGGGGGAATGATGGGTACGTGCTCTTAACGAAGGCAGAGACAGCGAATGGGACACAACAGACGCGGGAGCGATTGAGATGGTAGGCACGCGCTAGGGGAAGGGAGCGCAGCAGCAGGAGGGAAAGCTGGTCTGGCAGCAGGTGCATGACATGCGAGGAGTGAAAGACTGAGGAAGCGAGGGGGGTGAGAGGCAGAGGACTGAGGGGGGTGAGAGGGAGAGGATTGAGGGGGATGAGCGGGAGAGGGGCGGGGCTCGCTCACGTGTAGTCAAAGACGGCATGGAAGGGCTGTGGTGGGCGGAATTCGAAGAAGTCGGCACACACAAATGCCATCGCCGCCCTGTTTTCCGCCCCCTCCACCCGCTGACACGAGCAGAGGGGGGGAAGGAGGTTCGGCAGGAGGAGGAGAGATGGTCGAGAGAGTTAAGAGGGTGGCAATTGGACAGCAGGGGAGGGTGGAAAGAAGTGTGCGGGCAGGGGTGGGGAGCAAAGGGAAGGGCGAAGAAGGGAAGGGCGAGTGGGTGCAGTGCTGGCTGCACAGGCGCTGCCCACCCGCCTGTGCGAGATGTACTCATCAAGCAACATGATGGGAGTGCGCTAATGCGGCACCCATGTCACGCACGCCCACCTTCTCTGCGTGCTCCACAGCAGATGGAGAGATGTCAAGGCCCGTCGCCTCCCTCCCACCCAATGCGAATGCCTCCACATCGTAGCCCTGCCATGCCCTGCCATGCCATGCCATGCCATGCCATGCCATGCCATGCCATGCCATGCCATGCCATGCCATGCCATGCCATGCCATGCCATGCCAACATTCCAACATCACCCCATGCCATGCCATCATGCCATGCCATGGTATGCAGAACCTCCCCATGCCATGCCACGCCATGCCATGGACCCACGTGACAGCATGCAGTGATGTGCCATGGGGATGGAAAGTTTTATCGTAGCACCAAACAGCAATCATAGCACCAAGAGCAATAATCGCGCATGCCTTGGACTTTTCCCCCTCTTGCTACAGCCCGGCTCACATGTTCCGTGAAACAACAACTGTGCAATCCCGAGCTACAGCCGGGCGCCAGGCACTCACGGTGCCACAGCCGGGGACGAGCACGCGGCGGATGGAGGGCGGCAGGTGCAGTGGCGACCCCTCTGGCGCCGCCACGAGCGCTGCTACAGCCGGCGTCACGCCGCCCAGGTCCCACGGCGTCGTGCTCGCCTGCCACGCCTTGTCCCACCCGCCTAGCGCCCGGGATAAAAATTAGGGTTAGGGATTCCCCGAGGGGTGCGGAGGGATAGAGAGCGGCGAGTGGAGGCGATTGGGCGTGGTGGGTGGAGTGGAGCGAGAGGCGAGGATGGAGGGGCAATCAACCACGCCAGCGCCAGCGTACCGTATAAGCAATTTCCACAGAATGAATTGGCGCGCCTTGGGGTGCGAATGATGGGGTGCGAATGATCGAAGGGCAAACAGAGCAGACGCGCTGGCAGGGACGCAGACAGGGCGGACGGAAACTCTTGAGCCTGTGCGACGGCGTGCGTCGCAGCAGTCATCGCACAGTCCCAGGCCCCGGAAATCCCAGTATTCACACAATCCCAGGCCCCCTGCGTTGGCCCCAAGGATTGAAATTCGGCTCACCGACGGAGTCGTCGGCCAGCAGCTGGCGCACCTCCATCATCCCCGGAATGGTCTTCGGCGCGTCGAACGCCACCACCTCCGACTGCGCGCCAGGCACGGACGCGGCGTCCGCTGCCCCTTCCGCCGGAGTGGACGCGTGCTCAGTCATGCCGCGTGCGAGGATGATCGCGGACGAATCGGATTTTCGAGATTGCGCGGAGGGATGTGCGGAAGACGCGCAACGATCAATCACGGAACCCTTGAGGAAACGGGTTTGTTAGATGAGGGATGCCCGCGACGGTAGAATTTTCCGGATACGCATGGAGCAAGAAATAAAACTGGGAAGCTATCTTGCGAGAAATTCCTTGCCATGCAGGGAACATATGCCTGGAATCAACTCCGAATGCGTCGCGTCGAAACCTATCACGGAACCTCGCAGCCCCTATTTACTGGCCTAGCTCACCGAACAACCGTCAAATCTTCGCCACTCGACAGGTTCCCCTCCCTTGACATCGTTTCGTCGCCAGGTACACATGATGCCTGATTGAGCCCCTCCCGTTT